CAGCTGATAGATGTTCTGGTAATTTCAAGCGATAGGCCACTTTTCCATATCTCTCCAAAATTTGAAATGGTCCAATATATCGAGGTGCCAACTTGCCTTTCACACCAAAACGGGTAACTCCCTTCATTGGTGATACTTTCAGATATACAAATTCTCCTTTGCTAAACACCAATGGTCTCCATTGTCTATCCGCATAACTCTTTTGGCGGGACTGAGCTATTTTCAAATTACTCTGTATTTGCCTAACCTTGTCTTCGGTTTCTTTCATAAGGTCAACTCCAAAGAATCTTCTTTCTCCGAGCTCAGACCAACTCAATGATGTTCTACACCTACGACCATAGAGTGCTTCAAATGGAGCCATTCTAATGCTTTCCTGATAACTATTGTTATATGAGAACTCGGCCAAAGGTAAGCATTCGTCCCACTTGTTGGAATAATTAAGGACACAACACCTTAATATATCTTCAAGCACTTGATTGACTCTTTCAGTCTGTCCATCAGTCTGCAAATGATAAGCTGTACTATACAGGAGCTTGGTATCCAATGAAGAATGCATTTGTTTCCAAAAACTGGAGACAAACTGTGTACCCCGATCGGACACTATGGTCTTTGGTATTCCATGGAGACTCATAATTCTTGCTAAACATATCTTGGCGTATTGGACAGTGGGATATATAGTCTTGACAGGAAGAAAATGTGCTGACTTAGTGAGTCGATCTACAATAACCCATATTGAGTCAAATCCCTTTGATGTCTTGGGTAGACCAACAATAAAGTCCATACTTATGTCCTCCCACTTCCAAGCTGGAATAGGTAATGGTTGTAGTTCTCCAGCAGACCTCAAATGTATAGCTTTCACTTTCTGACAAGTATCACACTTTGCTATATATCTCGCAATTTCTATCTTCATTTTTGTCCACTAAAACCTTTGTTTTAAGTCATGGTACATCTTGTTGCTCCCCGGATGGATAGATAACCTAGTAGCATGTGCTTCTTCAAGAATTGACTGCCGCAACTCAGGAACTTTTGGTACTACCAAATGATCCTTGAACCATAGCACACCTTCATTATCTATACTGAAACATTCCGCCTTTCCATTCCTGACTCTTTCCTTGATATGGGCTACACCCTTGTTTTCCTTCTGAGCAGCAATAACTTGATCTCGAATAGTGGCTTCAACAATTATGTTGGTCAAACTACCTTGTTGAATTACTTCTATATTTAACTTCTCCATCTCTTGACATAAAGTCAAACCCATTGTTCTTACTGTCAGGCAATTGCAATAACTTTTGCGACTGAGAGCATCTGCCACCACATTTGCTTTACCAGGGTAATAATGTACTTTCAAGTCATAATCTTTAATCAGCTCTAACCATCTTCTTTGTCGCATATTCAACTCTGACTGAGTAAAGATATATTTTAAGCTCTTGTGGTCTATATAAATATGGCACATATTACCAAGTAGGTAATGCCGCCAAATCTTCAGAGCATGGACCACAGCTGCTAACTCCAAATCATGAGTCGGATAGTGTTCTTCATGTTGCTTAAGTTGCCTGGATGCATAAGCAATGACTCGGCCTTCTTACATCAACACACATCCAATACCAATACATGAAGTATCACAATAAACATCAAATGGCTTCTCGATATCAGGTTAGGCTAATACTGGTGCAGTGGTCAACAATCTCTTCAAAGTCTGGAAAGCCTCTTCACAATCAGATGACCAGGCAAACTTGACTTGGTTCTTCAGTAACTCAGTTATGGACTTTGATACTTTAGAGAAATCTAGAATAAACCGACGGTAATACCCCGCCAATCCCAGAAAACTCCGAACTTGATGAACTGTGGTTGGTGGTTTCCAATCAAGCACATCCTTCACTTTGCTTGGATCAACAGCAACTCTTTCCGCTGACAAGATGCGTCCAAGAAATTGTACTTCCTTAAGCCAAAAATCACACTTGCTGAACTTGGCATATAGTTGATGTTCTCTCAAGCGAGTCAGAACAATTCTGAGGTGTTTCGCATGTTCTTCCTTACTCTTGGAATATACTAGAATATCATCAATAAACACCACTACAAATTTGTCTAGCTCAGACATGAATACTGAATTCATCAAATACATGAAATGAGCTGGAGCATTGGTCAAACCAAAAGACATCACTAAATATTCATATAATCCATATCTTGTGGTAAATGCCATTTTGGGAATATCTTCAGGCTTTATCTTGATTTGATGATATCCTGACCTTAAATCTATCTTGGAGAAAACCTTGGCTCCGGCCAATTGATCAAAAAGCAAATCTATCCGAGGTAATGTATATTTATTCTTGATGGTCACTTCATTCAACGGACGATAATCAACATATAACCTCAGAGTCTTATCTTGGCTCCCAGCCCACAAGATCAAGGCGTGCACCACAAGACTATATGAAGAGGGTGAGCAGTAGCGTATGGGCTAAGCCAGGGCATCGTCGGCACGTGTCTCCTGCACCACGTGCGGCGCGCTGACTGCGCGACTCCAGAAAGGGTCACGTCGCATCACCGACGACAATGGCACCCCTCGATTGTGTCTGTACATGCATCATCAGTCACCATGTTCGTCAGTCAAAACAAACAGTGCATGTGACCGTCAGTTCCGCCTTCAGGTTTTGTTTTTAGAGTATATTTGTTTCAATTTCATTGATCGGCATGCATGCACCGCCTGTCTCGAGTGCAAGCAACGCTAGCTAGCGAGTTAGTACAAACTAGCTCCCTTTAGCTAAAATATTGATGGCCAAAAGTTAGTTCTGCTATTAGCCTCACCTATTTTTATAGCTAATGACTAATTTAAGCAGAAAAAAAACGAAAAAGGGCATACTACTAGTGTAATATATTGGACCATAAATTCATAACATAATGACCATAACAAGAATACAATGCAAAAAAAAACTTGATTGCAGTGATTTACACTAGATTTCATTAATGAAGATATCAATTTGTTTTAAATTAAAGAAAATAAAATTCGAACCTAGAAGCCTAGAATCTAGACTGGAGAATGGGCATAGGAGAGGGAGACGCCGAGTTAGGGGGTGTTTGGTTGCCCTTTCTAAATTTTAGTCGTTGTCACATTGAATGTTTGGACATATGAATGGAGTATTAAATATAGACTAATTACGAAATTAATTGCATAGTTTGCGACTAATTTACGAGACGAATCTTTAAGCCTAATTAGTCTATGATTTGACAATGTGGTGCTACAGTAAACATGTGCTAAGGACGGATTAATTAGACTTAAAAAATCGTCTCGTGGAGTACCGACGGATTATGTAATTTATTTTTTATTAGTATCCGAACATCCCATGCAACACTCTCCCGACACACCTCCTAAATTTTAATCCCCTTAAGCAGAGCTAGGAGGGGAGGGGGTGAGCCATCGAGGGAGAAGACTACGCTTCAACGCCATCCGCTCCACCGCTGGACGTTGATTGCCAACTACAGGAGCGAGAGGGAGTGAGGCCGAGGAGGGGTGGTTGCTGTGCCATGGCCACCGGCTGCTGCTGCTAACTTCCGAGTTAGAAGTTAATAAAGAAACCTAAAAATCCGATAGTGTAACAGTTAAGGAAGATCACCTTTTCCTTGGGGGTTCAGAGTGCCTGTCCATGGCAGTTGGACACCTTTGGGCTTTGCGTGACGGAGGCCTGGCCTACTCTGACTTGAGGCTTTCGGCTTCCTTCTGACGTGTCCATTTCTGGAGTCGCGTAGGCGTCAGCGCGCTGCACGCGGTGCATGAGACACGTGCCGACGATGCCCTAGCTCGGCCCATACGCTACTGCTCACCCTCTCCTGTCAAGCTAATGCCGTTGGACCCGATGCTCTCTGAGGCGGCACTGTGCACGCCGCGGAAAGGTGTCAGCTCCTGCAGTAGGCGTGCCCACTCCATCGACCTTTGCCCGCGCGGTGCCCTGCTGTCTCACAGTCATCATCGGGGCGTCGTGGGCTCTGCCACGCCACCGATCAGGGCGCGGCAGTGCCACGCCAAAATCGGTGGCGCGGGAGACCCTACCACGTCACTAGTCAGCGTCCCGGTCGTCGCCATGTCAGCCCTCTCGTCGCGCCACCCTGCATGGCGTGGCACAGGCATTTCGCCGCGCCATGGAAATAGACGCGGCCAAAAGTGTTAGATTTAGAAATAAAAATAAACAGTGTTAGATTTAGAATTAGTTCACAAAAAGTGTTAAAATTAAAAAAAAAATCACATTGGGCGATGCAAGTGGGGAAGTGAAATGATAGGGTTTGTCGTAGAGGCACTTATATCTTTTCATTCTCGAGTTGCTTTTAACTCAAATTAGTTTTTCTTTGTTTGCTAACTAGTGTTGTTAGTTAGGGTACCGGCTAGAAATTAGTCTAACTTTGAGCCCCCAGATGCTTTACAATTAATTTTAGTTAATTTTTAGGTGGCTCACAATTAATTATTGTTATAAAAATTTTAAATATAGATAGGATTTTTTTAATACAAAATATAGATAGAGTTCAACGAGACTGGAAGCTTCAAAAATTAGTACTAACATCAAAGGAAAGGACCACTATCGAAGGAAAGTGCAGCGAGGGAGCGACTGGCCTCCCCGAGTTTGCTTCGGCGCCAAGTCTCCAGATCCTTCGTCGCAAAGCCGCACCTGCGGTCCAGCGCACGCCTTACGTCACCTCGCTCCCCCTCTGCTCAATGCACCACGTCCACGTGAACTTGTGCCAATGACACAAGGGACCCACGCGGCCGAACCCCGTGGACCTGCCGCGAGCCACCTAGAATCCGAGATATTTTCCCACGGAGCGCGTCCAGGCCAGCCTATAAATAGCCGGCGCACCGTCCCCTATCGGGCTTCGGGTTTCTCTCCTTCTTTCTCCCCCTCGCGACTTTTCTTCTCGAGAGTCGAGATCTCGCGATTCTTAACGACTCGAACAAGCACACTCCAGCCAGCGAGATAGCGAACCCTAGGAACCCAGTGGCGATCTTTGGAGCGACCATGACGCTGGATCAGAACCAGGCCATGCCGATGCAGCCCCCGGCCCTGCAGCCCGGAAGGTGAGATCAATCTTCGAAAGACTTCTTTCGATTTACTTGTGTGTTGGGGGAATAGGGTTTGGGGATGGTCAGTCTGGTGGGGAACGGTTATCTGTACAAAAAAAAGGGGGGGCTTTTAGGATGGAAAATTTTGATGGGAACTAGTCGATTCGCTGTCGGAATTTCTAATTAGGGTTCTGGAAAGTCAAATTCCGTGGGTGCGTAAGCTGTTTTCGGTGCCTTGGTGAGGGTTGTGGGATTTCCTGGTCGGATTGTGGCATAGCAATTTCGGAATTAGGGTTTCTGGTGGTGGTCCGTGTAATTGGGATTGGCCGGTGTGGCTATTATGGAATTTTGGTGGGTGGAGCGATGATTAAGGGATTTGTCATTGTTGTGGAATTGGGGTAAAAAGCTGTAATTGGGGATCATGGACCTCTTGGTAATTCTAATTGTTCACTGCAGTGGATGATTGCTAGTTCGGGTATGGTGGAAAGTTCATGCTATTGCTTGCTCGTCATGTTGAAATCTGGGTTTGTTTGTCGAACCTGGTGAAAACTTTGTTCTGGGTGTATCATCTATTGTAAGATGAGATTTTAGGAGCGTATTTTGGGTATTTATTAGGTGTGTAGATATAAGCTTGAGCTTCAGAGCTGTGGGCATTGTTCATATTTTTTGGTATTTGGGAGCGTAGATGTTGGGTTATGAGCATTGTTCACATTGTGCTGAGTGACAGTATAGTGTGCATCATCTCCACAGAAACGTGTATACTATGAAGCCTGTAGAGCCCGTCTAACTTGCCGCTAACTTTGTTTCTGTATTTTGTCAAATTATGTTGTTAGCTTTCCTTATCTTAATCCAGTCTCTGATACGTATTATGTCTATTTGTCTTGTCTTCTCTGTAATTTATAGAACATATGGAGCAGAGGGCAGTACTGTGGTGCATGGTTCCGTCAGAACAATAGGTATGACTGCTTTGATCACCTCTTGTGAAAAGGAAATATTGACTGGTATGAGTCCACACGATATCTGGCCCTATAAAACACAATCACGCAAATAACAATTTATGTTTCAGCAGGAGGCCGTGCTCTTGCCTCGAATGAGTACCAGATTTTGGTACAGCAGAAACCCCAGGGAGATGCGCCACTGCTGGCCTCTAATCTGTGGTGTGTTTTAACTGTTCTATATATCTGGCTGCTCTCTGTGCTAGAGCATCTGAGCTATCACTAGCAGTCTTTGACTGATAGTGTTGTGCGCTTGACCAGTGAGTTACACTTGCGCCAGATACTGAAGTGATATCTGTTTCTCTTAACATGGTTGTCTACTTTGTAGAAAAATTGTGCAATGTGTTCAAAATTAAATATTAGCAGGTTCATAATGACAGATACGGTATCTGTTTATGCGAAGATGTTCTCCATGTGTAGGAGCTTTTGATTAAAAGGCAACTAACAGCGTGTAGGGAGCAAAATAGTATCCGTTTCTGTGGAGATGATGATTGTCATGTTTGAACCATTTGGTCTCCTGGGCACTAAGAAGAGTAGTAACCTGTTCTGTTTGAACATTTTGTTATTTTGCTTGTTCTCTGCTTGTTTGTGGCATGGTTGTTATTAGTTTTTTCCTATTGAGATAGTATTCCTGTTGGGGCATTTTTGTTATTTTTGCTTATGTACTTCATTTGCATGCTCGTTACAGTGTTTCATATGACGCTGATTACTAAAGTTTACCTTCTCAATTCAGCAGGAAGAAGCGACCTCGCAGGTCACGCGATGGGCCTACGTCAGTGGCAGCTGTCATCCAGCGGTGGGCTGAGCACAACAAGCAGTTGGAGTATGCTCCTGAGGGGGCAAAGCGACCAAGAAAAGCACCTGCAAAGGGTTCGAAGAAGGGCTGTATGAAGGGAAAAGGAGGGCCTGACAATACACAGTGTGGATACCGTGGAGTGAGGCAGCGTACTTGGGGGAAGTGGGTTGCTGAAATAAGAGAGCCAAATCGTGTCAACAGACTCTGGCTGGGTACCTTCCCAACTGCGGAGGATGCAGCTAGGGCCTATGATGAGGCAGCCAGAGCAATGTATGGAGACTTGGCACGTACTAACTTCCCCAGACAGCATGCAGCAACCTATGCCCAGGCTGCTCTAGCATCGACCTCTGTCCAGGCTGCTCCAACAGCTGTTGAAGCTCTTCGGCCTGGCACATCATGCGAGTCAACAACAACATCAAACCACTCAGATATCACATCCACCTCACACAAGCCTGAAGCCTCCGACATTTCGAGCTCCGTAAAGGCAGAATGGCCAGAAGCTTTGGAGGCTGGATCAAGCGGTATCCAAATTGGCACACCCAGTGTAGCTGACAAGGTCTTCGGGACGCTGGAACCTATCACAAATCTTCCAGATGGTGGTGTCACAAATCTTCCAGATGGTGGTGATGATTTTGATATTGGTGAGATGCTGAGGATGATGGAAGCTGATCCCCATAATGAAGGTGGAGCCGACGCTGGCATGGGGCAGCCCTGGTGTCTTGATGGGCTGGATTCGAGCGTCCTGGAGAGCATGCTCCAGTCAGAGCCAGAGCCATTCCTGATGTCTGAAGAACCGGAGATGTTTCTTGTTGGCTTCGAAAGCCCATCAAGTTTCTTTGAGGGTCTGGAGCGGCTAAAATGAATTTCTGATGTTTGGCCGTTGAATCCTCATTTCACTTCATGGCTGAGCTTGTGATGAAGTGGAAGGCCAACACTGCCAGAACTGATAAGAGGCTTGCTCTAGCAATTCTAGGCTTTTTATTCCTCCGTAATAGTTCTCTTATTAGGCATGGGAACTCGGTTTGCTTCACAATTTGGAGAACATGTTTTGTAAGACCAGAAGTGGTGATGTAAATAGTTCCCACCTTGTGTTAGGAAAAGAAGAAAAAAAAAGCATTTGCTTTTCGTTTTTATTTGCCTTTACGCTTCTTATTTGCCTTTTCCTATAGTTAAGCTCAAATTGTCTTTCCGCGGTCCGTTATACTGAACGGAATTCAACAGGGCTGGTGGTAATTTTGAAACGAAGTGTAAATCGTTCGTATCCTGCTCTCGGACGAACGCATTCCGGGCTCGCATAAGTATAGAACAGGGGTAATGATCCATTTGTGAAATCCACAGAATGTATACTCTTAGCGAGCGGCATTCAGGACGTGAAATTGTGGCACCATGCCACTACGCCAGTGCCTTTATTTAATTAATGAAATAAATACAAACAAATCGAACCTGGTGCACCTTTCTATTTCCAAATCCATATATCCTAGATTACATTGCACAAACACTTGGCATCCAACCAAACGTGGGGAAGCTAAGAAGTTATGCTATCAGATCCTCGCGCTCGCGCATATCCGCTCGTCTCCTCTGCTACCGTCTCCCATCCATCCACGATTTTCTCCGCATAGGCCGCCTGCTTGTGGACATGCATACGATTTGCACACAGGTCAAGGGCAAAAGAAATGTACTGTACTTGCAGCATCAGAGACCAGCAGAGCAAGCACTAACTAATGATCACCCATCCAGCACAAATACCTGGGTTGGCCAGATACAAGAGAACAGGCTAAACGAAATGGGTTGAAACAGTACCTGGCTTGCAACAAATCCTTTTAGCATCACCAGGAAATCTTGTTTTCTTTCGCTGTCTAGTCGCTGGAGTTCACTCCTGTTATTTTCCTGCATATCATACAGATTTCTATCAGATCTCAGTTGCATCACCAAAGTGATATCTCATCAGAAGCGGCATGCAAAGCATATACAGAAAGCACTCTTACAGGTTACATTACAACAAGACAAGCCAGAAGGAAGCATTTCTGTTTCTATTTATTTACTCGACTCGTGCTAGTCAAGTGCCCAGCATCAAGGAAATATGGTCCTTGCAATCAGGTCGATTAAAGTAAATTACTCCCTCTTTTCCAAATTATAACATTTTGGCTTTTTTAGATACATTGCTTTTACTGGCTTTTCTAGATATATTGCTTTTACTATGTATCTAGACAGTGAATATCTAAGTGCATAGCAAAAGCTACGTATCTACAGAAGCCAAAACGTATTATAATTTGGAAAGGAGGGTATTATTCACTTGGAATTGATAAGGAAGCATTCCTCAACATGAATGAATGAGCACACATAATATATCCAGTTAGTGATTGAATTTGAAGCCACCTAAATTACAGCCTCATGTTTGTACCCCCATCAAATGTTATCTTTACAATTTGGCCACTGGGCTACACTTACATGTGTAATATTTGAAAATAAACAAACAGAGAAATGTGATGGAGAATTAGTTCCTTGTGAATGTTAGATATCCAAACTTCTATGATACTGTTGCAACAAAGGGAAAACAATGTACACACATTTCAAAGCTGACGGAACCGCTACTTGAAATTGATTTTGCCTAAGAAAAAGGATATGATGGTACTTAAAGTTACACGAGACTAGATGACTAATGGAGTAAGCAGTCGATGTTTTGTCAGTCATCATTATTGTCCTTGTATAACCAGCAATAATTTTGGACAAAACGAGCAATCATTACCTTAATTCTCTCATACTCTCTTAAAGCACAGAACTTAGCCTCTTCAGTGGCCCTAATTGTTTCCCTTAGCTCTTCAACTTTGCGAGTCCTAGCTCTATCACCACCAAATATCTTCGAGGATGCAGCCTCGAGTTTCTCAATCCTGGACTGTAATGATGCCACATCTGACATGAGTGTTTGCACGGTCAATAATGCACTTGCCCGATCAGAAAATGCAGTGTGGACAGACAACATTATGCTTAAATGTTCATGCAGCGTATCCTGCCAAAATAGAAGGTAGAAAAAATAAGATCCATGAAAATGATCACTTCATAAGCAGTAGAGATATAGATAATGTAGTCCAAAGGTTAAAGATTCTACCAGATATTTGACAGTTTGCGCATTCAAATCTCGACATGCCCTGCTAGCTTTAACAGCGGCAGTGGCTACACGCCTGCTGTCAGCTGCTCTTATCCTCTGAGAGTCATACATTGCCTCCTCGGTCTCAAACTTTGTTAGTCTAACGAATGCCAATCCAAGCGCTCCCATTGTTTCAGCCATATCTTGCTGAGCCTTGACAAGTGCTTCTGCCTGTGGAGAAGACGGAAAACTTTAGCAATGGCTTCCTCCAAGACAGCTTAAGTAATTTTCTACATAAATCCAGTTTTTTATACAAAAATCTCCCATCAACTGGTATTGCTTCGTGTTAGCAGAGACACAGCATCACAGCATGGCCCTCGTCCTATTGTGATTCTGTACATGACCAACATGACCATGGGTAGAATCCTCTCAGACTCACATTGCCCTATTAACCTTTTGAGAACACTTTCTCTTTTTCTCCTATTTTGTAAGAATGTGTTGCCCATTACCCTAGTTGACCATACTATTGTTGTAAAACATATCATGTTACACAATGCACATGGGTTCTGCTCATGGTTTTTAAGGTGTCAAGTGGATGTCTAGGCACTAAAAAATCCTGGGATTCCCTGTCACCTAGCTAAAAAGAAGCAAGCAAACAGGATAGAGGGGGAAGAATGGAAGGGAAACCAACTGACAAGTCCCAGAAACTTCCACCACTGCCGTTTCCACTGGCTCTGGCGTCGGTGACTGGCACAGGACTTGCTCCTGTCAGTTGAGGCATGATATATCTCTAAGGGAGCAGCAGCTCAGTCGATCTGAGAGGGTGCAGCTCAGTGAGGGGCAGAGAAGCAGCACAGAGGAGTGAAGGAGTTGCAGGCAGCAGCAGGTGCAAGGACAAAGGCGAGCAAGCAGCGGCGCTGAGAGCGGATGTGACGGTGCTGATATGAATCAGAATGGAGGAGTTCGGGGGCCTATAGGAAAGTTAGGGGAGGGTTATATGGGCTGTCTAGTGGACTGGGCCATTGCCTTACGTCCCCTGCCCCCTTACTCCTTTTTTTCCATCCTTTTCTTTTTCGTTCCTCCTACATGCTTCTGCCTTGCCATTCTCGGATTGGTATGTTTCGGTGTTTCGAGTTACCGATGAGTAAATTTATATTTGCGCGTCTGGCTCGGATGTGAGCTCGCTAACGGGCATGTCCGAGTGGAATCCGGGTCCGTCGTTCGTAATGGGGTCGGCATAGCCCTCATATGGCATTCCACTACTCCTTAACCCGCCTTCCAGCAGATGCCTGGGTCGTTCCGGAGACCGACTCAGGTGGCCCGCTAGCCTCCCGTCGATGGAGATTCTGTGGCCTTGGCTCGAGGTTAGGATCGGACGAGAAGGTCGAGATGACCCTGTCCGCTTCTGAACGGGTCGGGCAAAGGCCGCTGGGGCTCATCTGCGTTTTCTTCCCTGGCTCTGTTCGACGCGAGGCGGCCTCGAGCCCTTCGCGGGCCGGCCTTCGAACCTCGGTCGGTCGGATTCCCGAGTCGGGGTCGGGCGGCTCGAACCCCCGAGCCCCGTTGGGCTCGGTAGGGGTCGGCCGAGTTTTATGCGTCGCCCCGTCCGCGGTTTCCGCAACTGGAGGGGTTGAGCTAACGTCATTTGCCTCGATGGCTCAAGTGTCGCGCTCGGTGAGCTCGCTAACGGGCATGTCCGAGTGAAATCCGGGTCCATCGTTCGTAATGGGGTCGGCATAGCCCTCATATAGCATTCCACTACTCCTTAACCCGCCTCCCGGCAGATGCCTGAGTCGTTCCGGAGACCGACTCAGGTGGCCCGCTGGCCTCCCTTCGATGGAGATTCTGTGGCCTTGCCTCGAGGTTAGGATCGGACGAGAAGGCCGAGATGACCCTGTCCGCTTCTGAACGGGTCGGGCAAAGGCCGCTGGGGCTCATCTGCGTTTTCTTCCCTGGCTCTGTTCGACGCGAGGCGACCTCGAGCCCATCGTGGGCCGACCTTCGAACCTCGGTCGGTCGGATTCCCGAGTCGGGGTCGGGCGGCTCGAACCCCCGAGCCCCGTTGGGCTCGGTAGGGGTCGGCCGAGTTTTATGCGTCGCCCCGTCCGCGGTTTCCGCAACCGGAGGGGTTGAGCTAACGTCATTTGCCTCGATGACTCGAGTGTCGCGCTCGGTAAGCTCGCTAACGGGCATGTTCGAGTGGAATCCGGGTCCATCGTTTGTGACAGGGTCGGCATAGCCCTCATGTGGCATTCCACTGCTCGTTAACCCGCCTCCCGGCAGATGCCCGAGTCGTTCCGGAGATCGACTCAGGTGGCCCGCTGGCCTCCCCTCGATAGAGATTCTATGGGCTTAACTCGAGGTTAGGATCGAACGAGAAGGTCGAGATGACCCTGTCCGCTTCTGAGCGGGTCGGGCAAAGGCCGTTGGGGCTCATCTACGTTTTCTCCCCTGGCTCTGTTCGACGCGAGGCGGCCTCGAGCCCTTCGCAGGCCGGCCTTCAAACCTCGGTCGGTCGCCGCTCATATCGAATGAGACGACTACCGCTTCGTGACGCGACGCGAAGCGTTGTGATGCAATAATTGCATAAAAGGACCGACCTTCGAACCTCGGTCGGTCACCGCTCATATCGAATGAGACTGACTACCGCTTCGTGACGCGACGCGAAGCGTTGTGATGCAATAATTGCATATGCGATGCTTGGATGTATGAGAATGGATGAATGAATGCTCATGCACTGGAAAAGTAAAGTGAGGTTTGGTAAAGTTACCTCGATG